GTCTCCCTACAGGGGGATTTTCGACGAAAAATCCGCCGGCCCCCTTGTGGGGCCACCAGGCTGCGAGGCACGGGTTCGCAGTTTCCAGTATCAGTTGTAGCTTGTAGTTTCCAGTGTTACAGTTCTGCTTCTTGCTGGTTACTGTAACTAGTTGATTGACCGCGCGAGGGGGGGGGAGACCCAAACAAGACTTTCCAGCGTCCCCTGGGCGCGTTGTCTGAATTACTGGGGGGGCTCGAAATCGACACCCCTCACGCAGATCCGCGGGGTCAGGGTCCAAAAACACAGGGGATTTGCCACATCTCTGAAATTCGGTGCCACCCCTCACGCACATCCGCGGGGTCAGGGTCCAAAAACACATGGGATTTGCGACATTTCTGAAATTCGATGCCACCCCTCACGCAGATCCGCGGGGTCAGGGTCCAAAAACACATGGGATTTGCCACATTTCTGAAATTCGGTGCCACCCCTCACGCAGATCCGCGGGGTCAGGGTCCAAAAACACAGGGGATTTGCCACATTTCTGAAATTCGGTGCCACCCCTCACGCAGATCCGCGGGGTCAGGGTCCAAAAACACATGGGATTTGCCACATTTCTGAAATTCGGTGCCACCCCTCACGCAGATCCGCGGGGTCAGGGTCCAAAAACAAATGGGATTTGCCACATTTCTGAAATTCGGTGCCACCCCTCACGCAGATCCGCGGGGTCAGGGTCCAAAAACACAGGGGATTTGCCACATTTCTGAAATTCGGTGCCACCCCTCACGCACATCCATCGCAAGGCGTGGTAACCCAAACTGCGAGTACTCCCTCGGCCCTTTAATCCCAAGGTGTGGTAACCAAGCTCGTAAACCATACACGTCTTACCAATCGCCCTGTGTGGTAACCCCTCTTGTGATCAGTTGGTTTTGCCGATTGCGAATCGGCCTCGCATGAAGTTCCGATACTGCTGCACGACAGCGCCAAAGCCTCATGACTTAGCTCTTCCATGGCCCATTCTCCGAGAGAGGGGGCCGGCGGCAGGGGGCGAAGCCCTTACGGATAAAATATACCCCACAAATAATCAAAACATGACCCAAACATGGTCTGGGGACTGTTTCGTAGGCATTTTTTTGGGGGTGCAATTTTGGGATATGTTTTTGGTCTTTTATATTTTTCGTCGAAAATCCCCCTGTAGGGGGACAGGCTGACCCCCGTTTGCATTGACCCCCGTCTCTTGAGCCCCGATCTCTCTCTCGATGCTCTTCCCCGGGGGCTGGCTCTGCCTCCTGTCGTGTTCTTATACATAATTGCGTTGAAGTCTAATCTCTAAAGAATGATCCCCCCCTTGGTGCCCGATGTGTTCTTTAAACTGACGTGTCCCTCCAGGGGCTCGCA